CTCTCTCCAAACTTCCCTTCCACAAAGTGCACGCTTTGTTGATAATCTTTCACCGATCATAAACACCACAAACTTCCCTTCGACCGGCATTGGAGTTTTCATGGAACTTATCAACGATTTTACCCCACAAATCCTTTCTATTTTGATTGGTGCCGACGGCACCATCTTCACTAACAAAAATCCATGCCAAACATAAAGCAATATATTCGTCAAAGGTCCATTACGACCTCTAACATGCTCTTTTGTCATCTTGAAAATTTTGGAAATGAGAAGAAATGGTAGAAAGAAAAATTGGAAGAATTGTAGGAGAAAAATGAGTTTTGTGTGGATGTTTGAACAAATACATAGGTATTTATAGAGTTTTTGGTTGATTTTAAGTTAAAAAAAAATTTTAAATTATTCTAGCCGTTGAATTTAAATTTGGACCATTAGATCTTTTTTTTTTTTACCGTTAGATTTGATTATATTTGATGCAAGTCGTTGGATTCAATAAATATATAAATATAAAACAAAACAAAAAATTGAACCTAGACCGTTGGATTAACCAACGGCCCAATTACCACAACCACATGATGAAGAAAAGTAGCCGTTGGCTACATGACAAGGCTGACAAATCGGGGGACACACCCACGTGGGTGGGGTCCACCTCAGTTGAATGCAGTTTGAACCCTGGGCATGGCAGAGGGCAAGTGGGCTTCACAACCCTAGTTTCAGTCTCAGACCGTGGGGCCCATTTTACTTTGTAGCCTAAAATTGGGCCGGAATTTGACCTTCATTTGGGTTTTAGGTTTTAGGTTTATTTTAGGTTATGGGTTGGAGTGGGTTTTTGGTGGGGGGGGGGGGGGGAGGGGAATTTTAGGTTATAAGTCATGGTTGGAGTTGGTTTTAGGGGCATTAATAATTTTCCTTTAATTAAGGGTTAAAAGCCCTAACAAAGTTTTGATAAGGCCAATACCATACAATGTACCATCCTCTCATACCTATTCTTTTTGTTTGACGAATTTTTACATTTCTTATGAAAGAAGCACATGTTACTTCAAATCTCGTAGAAGACGAGTTTAATATCAATTTTATTCCCTCACTATTTAATATAAGGTTTTTTAGCTAAAATAATCTTTGAGATTTGTCTAACTCTTCATGTGAAATCCTGTTCCCGAATTTCACTATTTAAGTTACATATTTTAGTATTATTAATTTCAAGATTTATTTTTAAAGAATTTTATATATAGTTGGCAACCATGCATAAATCTATAATTTCTTTCTTTATATGGTAGTGGATAAATTAATTTATGGGGGAAGGAAAAAGAAAAAAGAATAAAAGAGAGGTTGCCTGATGGCAGCGAGGAGGGGGGAAAATGGGAGGAACAGGAGGAACAATGAGGGAAGGGGACGAATCAGAAGAGGAGAGAGGAAGAAGGAGAAAGAATCAGGGAAGAAAGAAAAGAGGGAAAGGAGGGAGAGGGGACGCACGGGATCGGATCCCTAACCCGTTTTGGTTTGACCGATCAGCGGCGCGCCATGCTTCCCGACGCCATTCATGGCTTTTCACGGCAAATCGAGCCAAATCACCACTTGGAAACAACTTCCTAGCCTACCCTTTACCAATTCCATCCCAAAATTCATGCAATTTGGCCTTGGATTCGCAAGAAATGCACTGGTGGGTGTGATGGCGTCTAGGCGGTGATCCGCCATTTCTGAAGCTCACTCCATCAATTATCACCACCAAAATACATCCCTCCACCTCAGGAACAAAACCTAATTAGTGGTTGGGGCGTCAGAGCATGTTTTGAGGTCGAATCGGAGCACACCCAATTATAGGGTTCTAGTGATTCGTGGGCAATTTCAGGCGTTTCTTGGCTGAATTGGACTTCGGCCCAGGTATGAAAATTTCTCCCCTCACTGAGATCTAGTTTCCTATAAAATTTGGTAATTTTTAGAAATAGTTGGAATTTTCCGGCGAGTCGGGGCGGCTAGCCACCACGTGTGGCTGCGCGTGGACCGAGACCTCCACCTGCCCTTTCTAGACTAATTTGGATATCATGATTCCATATGTGAAGTTTGATTGACGGAATCTCGTATGACTATAGTTTGGATAGAGACCGCCTTTTGGACCTTAAGTGAATCGATGATCCGACTGTTGGATCGTCACCAAACTTTAATACGTTATAATACATAATATTTGAGGACACTAGGAAGTTATGGATTGGGAATCCAACGTTTGGATCTTCCTGAATTGGGTTTGTAAGTTCGTAAAATAAAACGTTGACCGCCACTGGAAATTGTGATTGGCAGATATCTGACCGTTGGATTGTGGTGAGACTTTAGTATGATGTTCTATGAGTATAATGAGGACATTAGGAAGTTACGGATCCAAAATCCGATGGGCAGATCTTTCGGATCGAATTACGTAGAGTTGTGGACCCTATAGTTGACCGAGAGTTGACTTTTGGTCAACATGTCTCGAAATGTTCTAGATACTAGAATTAGTACTACAGGACTAATTGAAGTCTAATGGGCCTATATTGGTTAGATAGTGACTTGAATATATGAGCTATGATTATTACCTTAATTTCATATATTAATGATATTGTGAATATGAATTGGTCTTATAAATATGATTTCTATTGAAATGTGATTTTTTATATATTTAGTCATAGACATATGCTTATTAAATATGATTTGGCTTGTGTACTGATGATGTTTGTGATATATATGTGTTTAATTATCTTTTTAATAATGTGAATGATAATTATGATGAATGTTATGGCAATTATGGGTTTGAAATATTGTTTGATAAATATTTGGATATGATTGCCAACTGAATACCTATTTGAACTTGGCTTTACTACCTAGCATGAGATGGAGATGAAAGTCAAGAGATGAGTTAGGTATTTTATTAGATCTTTAGGAAAAATAGTGATTAAGGGAATTCTTTGTGTTGTGCTCTATATGACTAGATGCTGGTTGATATGTGAAATCGATAGCGTGTATGCGTATAATTATATATAATGCATGATGATGAGACTGCACCATGTAGTAGTGGTACATGGATGGTCCTGCTTAGTATATCCGCGATGGGGGACCATACGCATGCTAGGAGTGATTATGCTTGGTATATCCGCGATGGGTGATCACTACTGAGAGCTATATGATACAGTCCTGCTTGGTATATCCGCGATGGGGGACTGTTAGGGGTGATCATGCTTGTTATATCCGCGATGGGTGATCATTGCCTACAGTATTAGACTATGCATATGGTTCTGCTTGGTATATCCGCGACGGGGAACCATACGCATGCTAGGAGTGATCATGCTTGGTATATTCGTGATGGGTGGTCACTACCTAGAGCTAGGATGTGGTCCTGCTTGGTATATCTGCGATGGGGGACCATATATATTCAAGGGTGATCATGCTTGGTATATCCGCGATGGGTGATCACTGCCTATACGATGAGATTATGCCTATGATTCTGCTTGGTATATCCACAATGGGGGACCATATGCATTCTAGAGGTGATGATGATTAGTTGTACTTGGTACATTTGATAGTCGATCATATTTAGTTTGGTTCCGTTGAGTGGTTAGGAACCCTAGGTTGTTGGATTTCGTGGAATGGTCTAAAATCCCATTATTTGGAGAAGTAGGCTTGACCTAATTGTGTCAATCTAGTCTTAGTTTTATATATATTTGTGAAAATGGTTTTGAGAATCTTGTGAATTGAGTTAGAAAAGATGTTGGAAGTCTGGTTGACTCCTTCGGGATTTGCTACGATTCGATTATGATTTCATACGGTATGAATTTAGAAGATATGAGAATGATTGTTATTACTTTGATCAAATTAATTAATTAATTAATGTGGCTAGAGAATGATTTTGTGTTTTGTCGGTTCTTAAATATGATGTATGTTGTGAATTGCGATATCATGATGAGACATAATGATTTATACGTTGGATGGGAGAGAAATCATGTTTTCATGGGGGTTTGTTATGTAGCATGAGTCCAGGAATTTCATGCAGTCAGGTTATAATAGATGATTGAGGAATGTTATGCTTTTCTGCTTGAACTTAGTGGAATAAACGTCTAATTTTTGTGATAATGAACTACGAATGACTTGATCCCTATTGAGCGTACGTAGACAGTCTAACGAGAAGGTTAGATGTAGCCATAAAGTAAACGAAAAATTACTTTGCAATTTGATTCTCGAGTTGTGATTTGCCACATCCCAGAGATGGGGTATGTGAGATATACGGATATTTGGTGACGTCACGTGTCTTTCAGTGAAAAATTATGTTAAATAAGATTCAAAATGACAAAATTACCCTAATTTCATAAACAATAGGCTAAAATATTTTGACAAAAATTGAGAGCATTTTATCATTTCATCCTTGTTTTATAGAAATTTTTCACGAAATGACCAAAATAATTGATTATGAACAAACTCAAGAATCAATTCTATTGATTTCAAATATCAAGAACCAAGGTGAGCAATTATACAAATCTCAAGATCATTTTAGCTAAAAAAACCTTAATATAAATATATCCGTTGCTCATATTTTTATTTTTATTTTTTTTATAAGTAATTTTTCTTTATGTTTCCCATTCCATTTGAAGATGGGCATATGACCTCCCATAAAACTTAACTACATTTGGACAAAAAAATAATTAGAGACAACTCCACTAACAACCCCATTACATTTTCACAAAGGCTAAAACCACAACCATTTCCATTAGCTCTGTACTTATCCATCTCATGAAACACCTTTCTTGGGCTTACAGTCCTTACACCTCTGCTACCCACCATACCCACCGCTGTCGACGCAATTGGCTCAAAACCTGCACCATATCGCTGACAGAAAAGAACAAGAAGTACTAGTGAAGATTACTTATAGGAAATCCAATCTAAGATTAAGCATGCCTAAGTTCTTTCAAGTTGTATCGCCTCCACTTTTGCACTCGCAACGTCTTATGAACACTCCGATCTCACGCCATGTCCTACAAGGATCAATCCGCATTTGCACCACCATCTGCTCCTCTCCGGCTTGCCGTTGTGTTCTTCAATATCTGCAACAAATACCGGTAAGTAAATGCCACATTACACCAAACTCGACGTGAATTACATAAAATGGAATATAAAAATGTTAGCATATAGACTTTCAGTAAAAGCATAAGCCTAGTGGCAGTTCTAGAATTGTTTCCGAACTCTGTCTAGGTTTACGAAGGATGAATACTTTCCAATCATGCAAAGAAGTTAGGTATTACTCAGTATTTTCCAATTCAAACAATGATTAGGCGCAAAATCTGGGACTCATACTGATGTTCAAGCAGCCTAAACTTTGAAAATCGGCATGTGTATAGCTTATGAATTGGTTTGACATGCGACAAGAATGTCACGGGCAATAAACTACATCACAACTTTAGATAACAAAAAGAGTACCATTTGGCTCTAAGCACGGGAACATTACTCCCGTCCCAACATGGTATGATGTGCAAAAAAACAAATTTCTGATATCTTTTACTGCAAGTAAAATCACATATTAACTATGAATTACCATTGTAACCTACTCAAAACGCGTTAACTGGGATAATTTTCAAGCCACTAATCAGTGGACACCATCACATTTATAATTCTATTATATAAAGTACCAACACTTACTGCAACTTTTTTGATTATCAAGCAAAGAAGTAATGGATTTGGTGGAGTTGACACCACAGCCCCTACCCTAATAACCAATTCACTACACTTTCCACTTTTGATATGAAGTGATAAGATGAAACCAAGAAGGCCCCTCCTCAACAGAATTGTACATTTATCCCATCAAATCATCTTTCCTAAAATACCCCTCCCTAAACCCAAATCTTTCATCTGTCACATATTAACAAATTCTCACTAATGATTCTATGTTGATTGGAAACAGAGATTTGTATGCACCTGGGCTAGCATCACTAGCTTTAAGCAATGGAATCAAATTCTTGGAGTTGGCTACAATACTTACAAGTACTAGTACAATTACCATCTAACGATAAGATATGTTGTCCAAAGAGCATATCTGGCCGTCAGATTGTGATAGTATTAAGTACTTAAGTATGGTAGCGAGTCTCGCTAGTTTTGAAGGAATTGGATTATTGGATGAGGGTAGTATACTAATTCCTGGTTTTGTGAAATTGGATTCCTCCTCACCCGATTACGGATTAGTAAACATGCCATAAAACACCAATATCATAACGATATATGGGGAATGATATAACATACATGTCTAAGCATCTGATTCTCATTCTGCAAAGTGGAAAGCCTCTCATCAAGCTCAGAATTCTTCTGCTCCAATTCTTTGACTCTCACTTCCAAATCATTCAAATATGCCTTCTTCCTCTCCCTTGCTTGCTGTGCTGAAACTCTGTTCCTCAACAACCTGTTATTTTTGCACCCACAAAATTACACAAATTCACCAAAATACCAATGACCCCGTCACACAATAAAAAGGGCAGAACAGTAAAATCATCCAGAAAGCAGTGCATCTGAACCCACCTCTTCAGCCGCTTGCTTTCCTTGTCTGCTGGATTTCTTCCTCTCTTTCTCTGACTCTCACCAGCCGTTTGGACCTGGTCTGGACCGGCCAACAAGCCGTTTTCCCGGGCGGAAGCCGACGCTCCTGCCGATTCGCCGCCGATTTCCGGCACTCTTCCGATCTCCTCGTCGCTTTCCATGCCTAAAATTTAGACAAATCAAAATATAATTTTTGAACCCAATAAAAGAACAAAAGCATAAACAAATATACAAGGTCAGCTCCTTTTTGTCTTAAACAATGCAACAGGACAGAGTTTTCCCGGATAAAAAATCCATTTCCCGCGAAACAAACAACGACCCTGTTGAGAAAATTGTCGATTCTACAAAACCAGATGAGAAAATTCGAAGTTCTTCCAATTTGCAAAGATAAACAGTCGACCACGAACAAAATAAGCTGTACTTATTGAACAAAGCTTTCTCCTTTTTATCTGAGACAATGTAAAAATAGAAGACTTTTCATCCAAAAAGAGCATTTTCCCGGGAAATAACAACAACCCAGCTGAGAAAATCCTGGATTGTACAAGACCCAGGTGGGAAATCTCGAAATTCTTCTGATTAAAAAACAAGTACACAAATTTAAACAAACAAAGCTATACTTTCTGGAAAAGAAACTTGAAAAAACTACAAAACAAGTTGAAAAATCAAAGTCAAACCTTCTTTAACTTCAAGATGGAATGCAGAGCTCGAAGACCTTTCGCTGCTGGAAGGCAGAGAGCTCGCAGCGAGGGAGCTCGTCGCCTGCTCTTGCATTTCTACCTGCTAAATCCAATCAAACGGAGAGAGAGAAATAAAACCGAATTTTCTGCCAGAACAAAATTAAAAGAGCGGGACATTAGTGTTTGAGCGAGTAAGTAACAGAGGGAAGAGGATTAGCAGCCGTCAAAGGCTGTGCAGATCTGAGGGTTGTGGGAGTATGAGCGTGGAGGGTTTTGAGCCATGAGGGGTGGCAGTAATCAAAGGTTTGGAGGGAGGGAGCGTGGAGGTTTAAAGACCGTTGGATTGGGGTTTGATCGGACGGGTTTTGTGGAGGGTTGCGAGCGAGGTGCAGTGAACTGGGACAGTGTGGGACCACATTGTGTGCTGGACGGAAAATGCATGTATTTCTTGGTTACGGGGAAGCATCCAGAGGGTTAGTTTTCCATGGAATTTTGTACCACTCCCACTTTTAGGGTTGATTTGATATTGATGTGTTTTGAAAAAAATTGTTTTTTGTTGTGATGTGAGAATAAGTTTATTTTTGTTATTTCATGTTTTCAGGTTTTTTTTTTTTTTTTTTTTTACCAAAAATTGTGAAAATAAATTGTTTTTAAATGTTTACCAAACACCTTTTTGAGCTCAATCTCTTTTGATATCCATTTTTTATAAAAGCACTTAAGTATCAAACCAGTACTTAGAATGATGTCTATAACTTGCTAATTTTTATCGACTTTCTATGCTTCAAGTTGATGAGTTTGTTTGATTATGATCACTAGCAGGATGAATACTTTTTCATAATCTCTGTGGGCCTGAAAGAGAAGGATAACAACAGTTTGATACAAGTTATTCCTTTTTCAAAAAAAAGAAAAAGGAATCTCTATTGACCTTATAATTTTGTTAATGTGACTATTGCCTAACTGCATAAATTTTGGATATAGACTGCCAAGTATTAGTCCAACAGTAATTTCAAAATTATTACTAGAGTTTGATTTCACATCGGAGTTTAACATCTTTTCTTACAAATCAGTTCGTAGGGACAAATTATATACATATGTGGTCGAGCAACATGTATGCTGGATTAAGATAGTTGTTACGATGTATGTGCATATTATTGAGTCGTTGAATACATATAGAAGAGTGAAGCCGCCTCAAAAGAAATAAATGGTCACTATCAGACCAGTGCTAATAAAGTGGGCTAACGAGCACGTTGAGCACAAACAAGTAATATCCATGGGCTCGAACAACTTGTATACTAAATGAAGATGGTCGATATGATTCGTGTACGTATTATCGAGTCGTAGAATACAAAGCTACCTTATTTCTTTGGATGAATGGTAGAATATTCCTTGTCAAGCACGTACGAATTACGATCAAGATCTTTTGAAAGTTGTGGAGGGAAAGGACTCGAAGATGGCCCAATAACAGTTAGGATTGACAACTCCACAAATTCATGATTTTTGAACCATGAGTTTTCCTTTTGATTTTAGAACATAAATCTAGAGTCATAGAAAAGACATTAGAAATCTCTAAATATCCCCTTTGAAGATACCAACTTGAGATGTTAGGTCCCAAGTTGCCTTCCTAATTTACAACAATGTAACTTCATTTTTGGGGTCTTAGATGCAACAGTTGGATCACAACTATAAGGAACAAAGACAAAGAAAATGCGGTTTAGGTACTACGATCTAGTACTTCTTTTATTCACCTGTAAGTGAAAAGTCTTATGGATGTCAAATTTGTTACCAAATTAAATAATATGACTAGATTGTTCTCTGTGTCCTTAATAATAAAGAAATTTGTCTACAAGTCTCTTTTTGAGAAAAAAAAAAAACAAAGTGTTGTCAAAGAACTTTTAGTCAGACTCCCACCAAATTATTATGACTAGCTAACTTTGCGGTTATCTAAAATCTCCTACCTCTTCGTTTATATCTCGTTGTATTCAAAATCAGCTTTATCCATGGATTACTCTAACAATAGTGCAAATTGTAAAATACGTATATATAAATGACATATTATTGAATTTGACAGTTTAATATGCATTGAAGAATCCAACTCAAAAATAAACGAATAGATCTAATTCATGTATACTATACATAGACGTATCGTCGTAAACATTGATGTATACGAGAACTCTACGAATATATGCTATCACTCGTACGTAGACCGATATTTGAGGTGGACCCAAAGAAACTATACCAAACCTTGTACAAAATCCTTCATGACATGAACGAATGGTCTCTTGCAATTTATCAACACATATCAGAAATGGAGAGACGGGCTTTAGACTCTTTTTGGCTAAATACTTCGTCTTTTTTCTTCCAAATCATGAGCAAATGGAGATGGGCTTATACCACCATGTCCTCACCACAAGCAGGGGTTGTCGATTTCCTGAAAAGAGCACGAGCAATAGTATGGCTGCGGGGAAGAATTTGCTTTTGGAAGAATGTGGGTTCTTGGTTGGGACAGAATGGCTGCGGGGGCTTATCGTCCCGTATCAACCCTGACGAGCCTTGCCTCCTAAATGTGGAGGCCGACCTTGCTGATGTTGCCATGGCCTCTCTCAATCAGTCGACAAGTTGTGATGATTTTTGGGTTTTGGTGTGTGCAGCAATTGTGATAATACCAATCTAGATGATTAGGCTGTTTTATATAAGAGAGGACGAGAAGATTCCAAAGGGACAAGCAAGGCCATCTCAAACTGAAGGGGCTATGTTTAACCCTGTCTAGATTATACCCCTGCGAAAAATTATTTTTTAATGAACGGTACTAGGTCATATTATATACAATCTCCAACCCAATGAGGCTTTTTTTTCTCCCTCAATAATTTATTATTTAAATTTGTTCTTTAATTTTATTTGTTAATTGAATTAAACTATCATATTAAAATAAGATTTCCAAACATATTTTGAAATACACCACCTTAAGTATTAAAATAGTGTTTGTTGTGAATAGAATGTGAATAATTGAAATAAAATGAGGTAATATAGTATAAAAGGTGAAAATGATGTGAGAAATAGTATATGAATAGCTTAAGTATTTGAAAAAAAAATTAGAATTTTTAATTATTTTTTTCAAATTTAGTCTTATAAAAAAAAATCACAATCCAACAGCTAGCTAACGTCAGTTAGTAAGTGGGTTGCTAACAGCTTGGGCCCCTTAAATGGGTTGGCTACCTATGTTTGCCCAGCTCAGTGGCCATTTGGTTGGATTTTAGCCCTATGGGTCCCAAATATTTTTGGCCCAAACTTCCATTAGAGATGAGTTTTGTGTCAAACGAGCTATATTTCGACTTATAACCCTTTGGCCAGCCCAGTTGGAGATGGCCTAAGATGGCTTAAGAGAATAATGCGCTTTCGGTTAGTCTAATTTTATGCTTAAAGTTGTTGCTTATACTGTATGGGTGTAAACAAATTCTGTTTCTGTCTTTTTAGTGTAAGATCAAAGTTCTCTCCCTCTCTCTCTTAAAGAAGATGAGAAGTCAAATATTTCTGAAATAAAATCATTTCGAACGAAGGCGATAATAATTCATTCAACTCATATTCCTTTTGGGTACATCGGATGTGATCGAAACCACAAACCGAGCTAATCTGATCCTAATCCAAATTCTTTCGCCACCCCTTCTTCACCGAGCTAGCCGAGGCTAACACAAAGGTCGTACCCAGTGCACAAGACTCCCGCTTTACGCGTTTGGGAGAGGTGAATGTCGGCTAGCCTTACCCCCATTTATGGAGAGGCTACTCCCAAGTCTCGAACCTGAGACCTACCGCTCATGGACGAAGGCACTTGCCATCGCACCAAGTGCGACCTCTTAGCCGAGGCTAAGACAGATGCCACAAAAACGAAAAGGAGGTGGGACAAAACCCTATCAGATGTCATTATAAACAACATTGAAGTACCTGATTTACACGTTGGTTCACAAGACAGTATTGGGGATAGGCCGCTGATATGGTTGCCGAGAGTCAGGAACGCTATCCTCCGAACGTTTGTCTTCAAACCATTTCACAACTCTTTTGCGGGGCAGGTTTGTCACGTGCACTATGCTGCTGACCATCGCATTCTGTATCACATATCAATGCACACAGAGCATGAGGAAATCCTGAACAAGTTCATTTAACTCGAATATCAAATGAAAGTGCATTATATCGCAAGATATTATTCACTTACAGTGGGCCGCTTTGTTTTTCTATAAACGCCTTCAAGGGTTTCAACCTGTGCTTTCTTCAGCCTCTTTTGAGCAGAAAACTTTTGTTGTCTGGCATGAACGGGCACCCTCGCTGCACTTTCAAGCTCTACAGAATCTGTAGTCGTTTCCACCATGGTTTCTCCAGTTGTTTCCACAACAGTTTCTACAGAATTTGGTTGGGACACAGATACCACTGTCGCAGGTTCATCAGGCAAAGCAGCACACATGATCAAAAGACTTGGAGGGGGCTCACGAAGCAATTCGAGAACAACAGCCCTGTCAAGACAAAGCTCAGCTGCAAGAGTTTTTATCTGCAACAAAGAGAAGAAGCGAAAATTGAAATTGATTGTAGTAGTGTACTTGCCAGCATAACGAAAAACCCCCAAATAACGGGAAGCACATTTTCACCAACACTAAACAGGAGTTTACATTAATAGGACTACACATATAATCTCCACATTTCCCCGGCCTCCTTAGAAATCGAAAACTTATTTCGAATCAAAGAATCACTATCAATCAGGATATGAAGCATCCAATATCTTCAATTTCGTCTCCAGGACAGTAAATGTTTTCAAAGATTCATCAATACAAAACCCAAATTCAAAGAGAAACCGAAACACTTACGCTTGTTTTGCGCCGACCAACTTTCAAAGCAGCAGCCAATCTCCGCATCTGCCAAGTCTTCAGCTTCACCGGAGTTTCCTCTTCCTCTTCCTCCTCCACCTCCTCATCTTCTTCGGCATAGCTCTCAACAACACCGTCATCGTCTTCAACCTCCTCCTCCTCCTCTTCCTCATCGTCATCATCATCACCGTCAACTCCCAGTGCCTCTGCCACTTCCTGCTCGAGCTTAGCAAGCTCTTCTTCCGTTAAATCCTCGTCGTCAAATGACGCGTCGTCATTCTTGAGATCCTCCTCCAGCAACCTAAACAGCGCATCAATCGCATCCTCATCCACATCCTCCTCCTCCACCTCCTTCACTTCCTTATTCCCCAAACTTCTCTACATTTCACCGCAATTCAAAAGCACAATTTCAGCAAAAAAAAGGGAACTTTTTGAACAAGCTCATTTCTTAGTTCTTACCTTCTTTATCTTCGTTCTTGAGGGCGCCACTTCGGCGCGGTGGTTCCGGCGGCGAGCCAAGGCGATGGTGGACGAGAACCGAGTCGGGAAGTGCCGTGGCAGAACAAGATTGGTGGGTGACCGTTCGTGGCGGGATGAAGACGGTAACGGTAGAAAGTGAAGCCCCTTGGGCGTGTCGAGCGCGGAAGCGAAAGCCATTTTTCTGTCGGTGCGAAAAATATGGGATGGGAATGTTTTCCGCCAACCGGTGCCGTTTTAAAGGTCGCAGAATCGCACCGCTTCCAGCTCAAACACCGATGAATAAAAAAGGCGGCACCTTTCTGCCTCTTGGCTCAGGTTTATCTACTTATTTCCAGTGTCCGTCTAAACCATTTATAAATGTCAAATTATAAATAACGAGTGATGTGAAGTTTTATATTAAATTTGGGATGTGCTATCCACACATCTTATTTTACTTCTTACATATCTTTGATAATTTTTGTCCGTTGATCTTTTTCAATTCATCCGATCCGACGGTCGAAAATTAAAAATGTGTGTAAAAAGTAAAATGGAGTGTGTGGATATCACATCTCTTAAATTTTATACTTTTTTAACTGAATTATCAAATATTTTTTATTATTTAAATAGAATTTTAAATGATTTGTAATTATTAAAAAAAATGTTGGAATAAAGTTTTTATTGGTTAAAATGTTAGTGAAATAAGGAACTCACCATTAAAATGAATTAAAAATAAATTTAACTTCAAATTACAAAGCCTTCATATCCAATCAGCAAATAACACTTTGGTTGGAGAAACTTTTGATATCAAATATGCACAGTAGTTTAGACTTTGTGATTTGGAGTCAAATTTGGGAGATGTCAAAATGGAATGCCATTATGTATATTTGACATCAAAAGTCTCTCCAATCAAAATGTTATTTGTTGACTAGATTTGAAGGTTTTGTGACTTGGAGATAAATTTGACATCAATGTCAAATTTATTTTTAATTCATTTTAATGGTGGGTCTTTATTCTACTAACATTTCAACTACTAAAAATTTTGTTTAATTTTTTTTAATAATTACAAAATCATTTAAAACTCTATTTAAATAATAAAATAATATTTGACAATTCAGTTGAAGAAGTACAAAAATTGACATAAGGCTTCAGATTGCCACATCAGCCATCAATTATAATTTGACTCTTATAACTTGATATCTCATTTGGAGATGGTCTAAAGTGTATTCAAACGACCGTGGTTCGTGCCGTTTTGTGCTAAAGCTTCAATATGCTAGGTCTAATTATCTTTTTTGGGTTAATTACATTAACACCCCATGAGGTTTTTTGTGTTTTTCACAAAAACCCCTTATGATTGATAAATATCACTAATACCCCTTGAGATTTTAATTCACTTTCACCTAACCCTTCTAAAAACGTATATACCCTTGTAGCTAATTACTTAAAATAAAAAATCTTTATAAATAAATAGAAAAAGAAATGAAATTAAAAAGAATCACATTAAACATTAAAAATGGCCAAATTGTAGAATTCTTCTTGGCTTTGAATTCTGGGATGCGTGTGTAGGGTTTTTGGTTTTGGTATTTGACTATTGGTGGCTTCCTTCAATATTTTCAAGTTTCATAATTATTTTTCTTTATATGTTTTTGGTCTGATTCACACTCTCTTTGCGAGAATGGAAGTAGAAGGAAGAAGAACATATACTATGACAACGAAAAATTCTCCTAATAATGTTTATAATCTACCGGAAACAAAGATTTCATTTGATCATTTTTAATTCTCAGAAATTAAAAAATCCACCAAAATACAGAACAAAAAACAATCGGAATGGCAAAGACGGGTGTTTTCCACTCTGATACGACGGTAGTGGCCAAAGCGGCGGTGTTGAAGAAGTAGTTGCAGTGGTTGGCGAGGGAAACTTTGCACGATAAAGAACAACAGGTTGAAGGGTGTATTAATATAAAAATGGTCTGTGCATTGGGTCTGCGGGTTTTCTTCACTAAACGAGGGTGATTCTGATCCGATCGTGGCTAAGGAACAATGGATAATCTGGCTGACTGTCGTGCAAATGTGTTAGGTTGCAACCGGTCTGTGCAGCATCGTTGTTGGGTTTTTGGAATGTTCTTGCGATCCATTTGTGGTGATGACTTAAGGATGGGGACTAGATTCTTTGAAAAGAATGCCGATCTTGAAGCATCTCATAAGTAGATGGCTTCATAGGGTTTCTTTTGTTTTATTTAATGGTGTCCCCTCCGAAGTAAGCGTGCTGCTCACGCTTTGACGTAATTTTATTTAATTTAACAATTTTTTAGACTTATTTATTTATTTATAAAGATTTTTTATTTTAAGTAATTAATTACTAGGGTATATCTGTCTTTAAAGAGGTTATGTGAAAGTGAATTAAAACATTAGGGGGTGTTAGTGATATTTTTCAAACGTGAGAGGTTTTTGTACAAACACGAAAAACCTCAGGGTGTGTTAGTGTAATTAACCCTACATTTTTCACTCCTCTAAGAGCAACTCCATCCCTAAAAACCCCATAGTCAATAGTCAATTCAATTCACCCAAATAAATAGTTATTGAGTGCAATGAATAGTCAATTCGTATACTGAATTGCCTAGTCAATTCGTATAAAATTTTTATTATTTTTTAAATTAATAAAAAATAATTTTATTTTTAATTTCGGATAGGATTTTTAACTAATCTTGTCATGCCACATATCATTATCCGAAAGTACAATTTTTTGTGGATAGATTTCAATGTAGAATTCTAACCAATTTCACAGTGCCACATGTCATGATTCTGTAAGAATTTTATGGAAAGATTTTGAATAAGATTTTGAACCAATCCTGTCACGCCACGTGTCACTATCTGTTTAGAATCATTTATAATGGATTTCGATAAGATTTTCAACCAATTACGTAGTGCCAAGTGGCATTATCTACAACCTCACCATTCCTTTTTTTTTTTTGGGTCCATATAAACCTTATCCATCCTAATTCATACACCAAACTCAAACTAGCTCAAAATCCTTTTTCATGGTTTATAAATTTTTTACAATGTCTTCTTTAAAGGGATTGTATAAAATCAATGAGCAAGAGAAAAAATTATTTGAGGAACACGAAGAATTGTTCAATCTCGAGGATGGTGCAGATGAGGCGTTCGTAATGGAAGAGGAAGAGGATGATGAACTTAGAAGGCATAGAGCCTCACATTCCCGTCGTGTCATGCGTTTGCAACCATGATGCATACTTTGTGCAAAAAAAATGATACTTTTCATGTTATAGGTCTCCGTCCTGAACAAAAAATTTATTGCTGCTTGCAGATGCTTGCATATGGAGCATCTGTAGATCAACTGGATAAGATTACAAGGATGGGAAAATCAACTGTTCTAAAGTCCTTGATGAGGTTTTGTTCCGCAATAGAAGCTATTTACACTAATGAGTACCTCTAGAAACCCACAACAATGGACTTGCGAAGACTTTTGAAGAAGGGTGAGATGCGAGGCATTCCTGGCATGATTGGAAGCATTGACTGTATGCACTGGACCTGGAAAATTGCCCAAGTGCATGGCAAGGAGCTTATGGCGATAGAAAATGAGCCAAAAGTATCATTTTGGAAGTGGTGGCATCATTTGATACATGGATTTGGCATGTTTTTTCGGTGTTCTAGAAGCTCAAAATGACCTTAAATTCCTTGCCCAATCTTCAGTGTTCGACGAGGTGCTACAAGGAAAAGTGCCGAAAGTGATGCGAAATATATAAGCACACAAATTAAACCCTCTTTTTATCAAATGTAGTAAAGTATGTAAGTAGGGATCGTTCTAGGCCGAGGATTAGGAGGGATTGCTAAATCACTTGGAAACTGACTTGAAAACGTAAAAACAAAGTTTAAAACACTAAACTAGACTCAAAGAATGCAAAACTATACTTTAAAATACTAAGATAAACAAAAAGATTCAAAACAGCAAATAAACACTCAAAACTGCTTTAAAAACACTTTCTGGGCAGTTTTGAACACCTAACACTAAATTGGACGAAATTGGGTTATGACTTGACTCAAGACACTTAAAAACACAAACTAAAGTGATTACTGACTAATCTAACATTTTGAAATAAATGGGAGATTGGTTCTTGACGAATTTGAAAACAAAACAAACTTTGTAAAACAAAACAGATTGTAAATGAATTTGAATGAAACTTATGGATGGAAGGCTAGCTAGGAGGTTCTTCTCCACACATGTCACACTTGCATACAAAACGATTTCCAGTTGCTTTTCGATAAACTATGAATACTCAACGCCCCAAATTAACCGTGAATTGCACTAATTAACCTTCAGTTTTTCCACAAGTTATTAGGTTGGATGATTGCATACGACAACCCAAAACATTCCCTACAAGTTCCCTACATGAATTGCATAATAGAGATACACGCAAGAATCATTAAGTTCTATGAAAAACATAAGCATTGACGAGGCACTCGTTACTATGAATTGCATGAAACTTATGCCAAGAATTTACTTAACACGATTGTGATCAACAACCTTTACTACTTATGAATATAAGTTCATAACGATTAGGTGAAACTTCCTTATATCCTAGCATCAAACTTATGCATGAAAATTAAGCGTGCACTCTCAACCAACATACACAAATCAGTTTTTATACGAACGGATAAGTAAATTGAATTCACAACTTATGAATCACAACTGGATGTAATCAAATCATATTGCAAGCATGAACATAGTTTCGAATCACCCCCTAACTAAGAGGGGTTTAGTTCCTCATACTTACAAAGCAAAGATGCATAAATTTAGACATTAAAAACAAAGATAGAAAACACCTAGAAACGCTCCAACACTCCCAAGGCTTGGGCATAGGCACGGCACAAGATGTTCCTTCTCTTTCCTTCCTTGCAAGCAGCGGCACTAGAGGTTTTGGACGGTTTTGGGTGGTTTTTATGGTGTAGAAAGGATGGGGAATGGTATGGAAAGGTTTAGGATTGATGGGTGGTGTGGGTAGGGGTGGTTTTTGGCTGAATTTGGAGAGAATGGTGGTGGAGAACTCACGGCAAAGATGGATCAAAAACTGTTTTTTTTGATGAATATGGGAGGTGGTATTTATAGGCTTGAGAGAGGACCACTCCATTTCCTTTGCATGTGCAGCTTGTGTGGGTGTGTGTTATCATGTTTCCCCTTTACATTTACACACACATGCTTCATCATTTCAACCACCAAACACACACATTTTCTGCCATGTTTTCCTTTACATTTACACACACATGCTTCATCATTTCAACCACCAAACACCCACATTTTTTGCCCATGTGTGTGCTCCATGTATTTGCTGCCATGTTCTTT